GCCGCCGGGCGCCCCACGACCCGCGCCGGCCCCGCGAACAAAGCGCCGGGACCGCGGCGCCGGGCGGAGGCCGGGCTGGGGGGGTGCGGAGGCCGGGCTGGGTCGGGCCAAGCTGGGTGGTGGGATTGGCCAGGGCGGAGGACGGCCGGGCGAGGGGCACGGGGCGGCCCGGGGTTCTCTCCGCTGCGGCGCTCCCCCACGGACGCCCCTCCCCCCGCCCGCGCGGAGGTCTCCCGCCCCCCCAGGAAATGCGGCTGAAGTCGGGTTAATGCATAATCTGGAGGCGACGTGACGGGACTTCCAAGGGGCTCCAGGCTACGCCGGGGCCGGAGCGGCGGGGGCTCCCTGGCCTCGGGGAGGGGCTGCCAGATCCCGGACCCCGCTGCTTCTGGAGCGCTACAGAACTGCGCCCCTCCCCAGGCGGGAGGAACCTGATGGGGAACCCCAGCCCCTCGCTAGAACTAGGGACTGAAGCTCCGCTGGGCCCGGGACCCCCCAGCTGGTCCAGGAGAAGAGGCAGCTCCACCAAGCCGCGCCCCCAGCTGCCTAGGACCAATGCGAGGCGGGGGCTGAGGCGATTGGTCAGAATGGAGCGCAGACCCGCCCACCTTCTGTTCGCGGGTCAGCTCGGGCCCAGCTGCAGGGCTCAGGGCTCCCCCTGCAGTTTAGCGGCGGCAATCTCGGGTCCGCTGTGGACGACCAGCCACGCCCCCTCCCTAGCTCCCAGAAGCGCGCTTCTCCAGCCATTCTGGCTAAGTACAAGGGATAAACTGAGACCCAGAGGGTCCAAATTAGATCCTGACCGAGCTGCAGCTCGAGAGGAAGCGAGAGGAAACCCCTTTTGTTCCTCTAGGGCTGGGTCTGCGGTGCACCCCCTCACCGCAACCCAGCCGCAGAGCTCTGAGCCAGAAGCTATGAAGGGTGAGCGGCAGAAGCGGTCCCTTTCAAGGACCCAACTTCTCACAGACCCTGATGGGAGGTTCAGGACAGGAGGGTGACATCAGAGGTGTGTGCTCACACTTGCTAAGTTGCAGTATTACAAATAAGTGAGGGTGGGGCCCAGAAAACGAGGCTGGAACCAGGAGAACCCCCTACACACACGCACATCTGCATGTCTACACATATCCGTCATAAGCAAGGCAGACCTGGGGTCCCTCAGTGTAGATACGGACTCGCACAGACCAGAAAGGGGGCTCCTGGATCTCCAGCCAAATCCCCCTGGAGAGTCTGAAAGCTGAGGTCTGAGAGTCCCCAGAGTCATGGGCCAAAGCCCAGAGAGGTGTATGTTCTGTGTCATCCCCATCTCTCCTGTTTCCAAGGCTGACTCAGCATGGCTTCCGTGGGCTCATTTGGTAAATTGATATACAATCATCTGGCGTGGAAACAGGTAAAACTTGTGCCAAATTAGGTGCCCCCCACAAGCTCTTCCACACAGGCTAGAGGAACCTCCATTCCAGGTGCCTCCTCCCCTGCTGGCCATGGCCCCTCCTTTGAGTGAAACCCTGAAGGTGGGTGTATTTGTTCTGAACAGTTTCCATTCACCAGCTCATCCCCCACAGTGATGTGTATGTTCAAGGCCCATCCCTCCCCAGACCAATGCAGGCTGGACAGGGCAAGCTGCCGGGTCCTGGAGGGCCAGGAGGCCCCCCCCCCAGCCCCCAGGCAGGCCCTAGGGACTCACTCCCTCACCACTTCCAGGGGTGCTGGTCCCAGCTGGGACCTCACCTTGTGGCCTTTGGGACCTGACCAGACCTTCCCTTTCCTGTGCTGTCTGCTGACCCAGATGTTGGGATGGGACCAGTTGTGCAGGGGCTGACCAGGACTCCACCTGGAGCAGGGGTGGTCTCCCCCACACGTGCTTCTTTTTCTTTGTCTAGCAGTTAGTTTCCCAAAGGTATGGGGATACGTGTTCAATTTCTCCAGGGTAGGCATTCACTATTTTGATCCCACCAGGCTGCTGCTGCTCCTTTATTAAGAAATTTTACTGGGGAACAGTGTTTTTCTAGGACCCATCAGCTCTGAGTCAAGTAGTTGTTTCAATCTAGTTGTGGAGGGTGCAGCTCATGTGGGAATGGACTCGGCAACCTTGGTGTTATGAGCCTGAGCTCTAACCACCTGAGCTAACGGGCTGCTCCCCACCAGGCTGCTTCTCAACTGGGCAGCCCAGCCTGGTGACCACCCAGGGACCCTGGGTCCCATTGCCCTACTCCCTCCTCCACCCCTACCCCAAGCTCAGCAGCAGGGGTGCAGAATGGAAGGCTGGCCACCGCCAGGGTGCTGGGGGAGGGGCAAGGGCACACGCAGAGGCAGCCAGTTAGCTTAGCATCAACTTTTATTATGGTACTGGGTGGGGACTCCAGTGGGGCCCTCAGTGCAGCCCTCCTGCCCCTGCCTCGCCCCCGCGCAGGCGCAGGTTCACCGACACGGTGCAATTGGGCGTGAGGCCGTACTCCCCCAGCTGGCGCTGGTCCTCCATTTTCTTGGTCCCGAAATTCAGCCAGAACTGGTCGGCAGGCATGCCCTCCTCACGGCTCACCAGCTGCTTCAGCTCAGCCACCTTCTGTGTCAGCCGGACCTCGTAGGCGCTGGTGCGACCCTTCTCGTTCCTCACCAGGATGCTCTGGGGGTCGTCGCTCAGCACCACCAGCAGGACCGTGCTACCGGGGCTCAGGCTCTGCCCCTCGAGAGGAAGCTTGTCCTTCAGCTCCGTGCCGGACGGGTGGGCGATCAGGCGTTGCTGGAAGGTAGGCACGCCGGTCTTCTGGGCGATCTGCCCCTTCAGCTCCGCTGTCAGCATGGAGAACGGTATGGACATCGATAACTCCTGGCCACTCAGCATCTTCACCTTCAGGTTCCCTCTCTGTGGGCATCACACGGAGCTCAGAGATCCCGGCACAGTCTTGGGACCTCCTCATGCTGTGCACTGGCCGCCCGGCAAGCTCCTAGGCTCATGGACACTGTTCCCTCCTCTGGATCCCCTCCACCCACCAAGAGAGGGAACCCAGGCGCTGGAGATGCACGGTGGGGGGGGGGGAGTCTCTGGAAGAATGGCCAGCCGCCCACGACCACCACTTTGCCTCCCTTCAGCTAAAATGCCCCCCAAGGGTCCTCAAAGCTGGCCACTGGTCGGAACCCGCCTTCCAAGACCCGGACCCTGACGTCAGGAGCCCTGTCCCTCCGCCACACTTGGGAACCTGGGGAGCTCTGCAGCTCCACTGGTCTGGCACACAGCAGGTGCCCTGCTCCCGGGAGACCCGGCCAGGGGGAGGGGGAGGCAAATCGACCAGACCAGTGCCGAGCCCACCTGCCCCACCTGTCAACCCGCCTCACCATGGCTGTGGGCTCTGGCTCCAAGTTCCCCCGCAGACAGTGATGAGCTTGCTGTCTCTCCTGGGCAACTCCTTCTGGCTCAGGTGGCCCAGCCTTTTTCTAAGCCTGAGCCACATACGTCAGGGGGCGGGGCGCGGTGCCTGGGAGCCAGTCTCATCGGCCCTTGAAGTCAGCTTGGGTTTCAGTTTCCGTTTCCCAAGGCGATCCCCAGAGCGAGTGGCAGACACAAATCTGAAAGACTTCAGGAAGACAAGGAAAGGGTGGGCCCAGGGACACAAACAGAAACAACCCCCCCCCCCGTGGGTATGTTCAGTAACCCCCTACAGATCCAGCACTTCCAGTCCTTTACGTGATTCACAAAAGTCATAGACACGTGAAGTAATGATTGGAGAGTTTCACTTTCCATTTACCAACTTGCAAAATTAGTAAACTTGAAAAGCACCATCACCGTTACTCAAGAAATAACATAAAATAGTGACACTTGAAACTACCCTGAGATAATTACCGTTGGTTTAGGACAACATTTGTTCAGATTAGGGTTTTTTTTTGTTTTTGGGGGGAGTTTTTTAGCTGAACCATCCTGCCACCTGTTGGCAGCGCAGCTCGGGCGGGAATCGAATCACTGTTGCTCAGAGCTCACACTCTTGAGTGAGCTCTTAACCAACTGAGCCACTCAGTCCGCCCTGGGTAGTTTTTTCTGTTTTGTTTTTTTGTGGTTTTTTTTTTTATGAAAAGGATGTATCTTTTCTACAAAAATGAACTCATGGACATTATGGAGAAAGTGAAAAGACTATCCACAAAATGGGAGAAAATATTTGCAAATCATATATCAAACAAGGGTCTAGCACCCATAGTATATAAAGAACTCTTACAGCTCAACAACAAAAATATAATTCAAAAATTGGGCAAAGAGTTGAATAGACATACCTCCATAGGAAATATACAAATGGCCAATAAACATGAAAAGATGCTCAACATCATTAGTCATAAGGGAAATGAAAATCAAATCACAATGAGATACCACCTCACACCCACTAGCATGACTATTGTAATAAGCAAAGAACAATAAGTGTTGATGAGGACAGAGAAATTGGAGCCCTCACACACTGCTGGTAGGAATGTAAAATGGAGTGGCCCCTGTGGAAAACAGTCTAGTCGTTCCTCAAAAAGTTAAAACAGAATTTCATGTGATCCAGCAATCCCACTCCTAGATATACACCCAAAAGAATTGAAAGCAGGCGTTCAAACAAATGTTTGTGCACAGACGTTCATAGCAGCACCAGTCACAATACACAAATGGTTAAAGCTGGACGAACAGCCAGATCCATCCACAGATGGATTCATAAACAAAAGGTAACCTAGCCTTACAATGGAATACCATGCAGCCATAAAAAAGGAGTGAGGCACCGACACTGCTACTACATGTTTGGACCTGGAAAACAAGATGCTCAGTGAAAGGAGCCAGACACAACAGGCCTCATACTGTATGATTCTGTTTCTGTGAAATATCCAGAACAGGCGAATCCCCGGAGATGGAAAATAGTGGTTGCCAGGGGCAGGGTGGTGGTGGAAAGTGACTGCTTTATTAATGTAAGGCCTCCTTTGTGGCTGATAAAAATGTTTTGGAACTAGATAGAGGTGACGGTTGCCCCGCATTGTAAATGTACTAAATGCCACTGAATTATATACTTTAAGATGGTTAAATTTATGTTATATGAATTTCACCTCAATAAAAAACAAAACTGAAAAGCCCTCATACTCCTCCCACCGTTTTGTGACCTGCTTCATTCATAACAGTGTATCATAAACATCTTTCCATATTAATAGATACTTTGTGCCAGTTGTTTTTTTTTTTAATTAAAAAAAAATTTTTTTTTTTTAAGATTTTTATTGGGGAATTGGGGGGATGGGAACAGTGCTGGGGAATTGGGGGAAGGGGAACAGACAAGTTGCTGTCGTTTTTGTTCTTCAATCTATTTGTGGAGGATGTTGTTTCACTGGCCCAAGTTGGCACCATCATTGCGCTCCTCCCTGGTGAGGCAGATCAGTCGCCGGCTTCTGGACGGCCGCCGCTCACTGCGGCTGTTGGCCGCTCACGCTGGCTGTTGGCCGCTCACGCTGGCTGTTGGCCGCTCACGCTGGCTGCTGGCTACACACGGTAGCCCATGGCAGCTCACTGCCACAGGGACTGCAGCCCACGCCGTCGCCGGCGACTCACAGCAGCCCAGCTCCAGGCCGAGCTGTTGTTCAGCATCTTAGCTGTAGAGGGCAGTGTCACTGGCCCTCATATATGGGATCCGAACCGGGGCCCTCTGGCGTCCCAAGCCGGCTCTTAACCATCGCGCCACTCGGCCGGCCCGTGCCAGTTGTTTTAATGGTTGCATATGCTCCCCTTAGTATAATGAGTCCATTACAGTACTGTGTAGAATTTAGTTAACCATCCCACATTGTTGAGTATTTAGGTTGTTACCCAATTTTACTATTACAAATAGCACATAACAGGCATAAGTTAGGTATAAATACATAAATAAATTGTAATATAAAAAAGTAAAAGCGTGGAAAAGAGAAAATGTTTTGAATATGACTCTTGAGCATTCCACCTTCCCATATCTCCATGACTCGGGTACCGCACCCCCTCAAGCCTCTGCTGAGAGGTCAGGTGCAGGCAAGGCTTCCCTGATCGCCCCTGGCTTTGCTTCTCCACACAGCACTATCACCTTCTACAAACCATGCAACTTACATGTGGCTGCTGTCCTGGTCTTTGTCCCTGACCAAGATGCTCACGGCAGAGGCTGCCCATGAAAGTGCAGAGAACACATGTGTGCACGAGTGAAATAAAACCTGGGAATGTGCTGGGTCTCAAAGCCTGACTTCTCATTAAACTCACCCTCCTATCTTTCTGCTTCAAATCACAAACCTTGACACTTTATTGAGTAAGCATCTGAACTGAATCTGAGTTGACATTCCAAAACCTAAACACTGTGTGACTTACTTTTGCAACTTGAATGAGGTATGGACACACAGCAGACAGCCACGAGTCACTGCGGTCTGCTGAGTGCCCACCTGTGTAGCACCTGTGGGACCATCACCACAACCAGAGTGGTGTGTCCTCTGCTCAGTTCTGACTCTCGGACCACATACAGCTTCTTGCTGGTTCTAGAAGCAGTGCTGCCTTCAAGGACCTTGGCGATTCCAGCTGCTAAGCCCCAGGGCCTGAGAGTGGGGGGACCAGGTTTGACTCGTCCCCCTGGGCCCTTCTTCGTGGCAGGGACCCCGCCTCACAAAGGTGTGGGTCTCACAGCCCAGGGTCTTCCACCCTCCACAAGACTCAGCTCATCTCTTTGCTCTCATTCAAATCTGAATCCTTTCCCCACTGTTATGAGCGACTGTTAGGCTCACAATCTGTGCTGCAGTCTCTTCCTGAGAGTCAGGGGGACTAACCCCCGAGAGGCTCTCAGACCCCCAAGATCTACCTGGCATTGCCTGAGGCCTCCGTGGTAGCCACGGCACAAGCAAAGAACAGATCACGCAAGGTCTTAAGTGCTTTTCAATATGCTCTTTACTTAAACATCAACCATCAACACACCACACAGTAAGCACACAGAGTAATACGCTAATTGGGTAAAATAGAGTAATGAGCCAGTCCCACAGTCAATCAGATTCCTGGGGGAGTGAGGAAGGGTGGCTGGTCCGGGAGGTCTGTCCGGCAGAGGTTCTGTCCGAGCGGAGTGGAGCAGAGTGGAGGGTTCTTGGAGCAGAGTGGCAGCGTGGTCGCCTCTCAGTTGGGACCAGTTCTCTGAGCTGCCAAAGTCCTCAGCTCTTATACAGCTCTGACTTCACCTTATTGGGACAGCCGGCCAGTGACCCTGACGTCATCGTGTCTTCAGTAGCAGACCTTCGGGGTGTAGCTGGTTACGCCCAATTACCAGGGCAACCAGGCAGCTCTGTGGGCGTTGTCTGCTAAGTTCTATGCGCGTGTCCAAAAGGGAGTTCCTCTTGCTCATTCAATATGGGGTCACTCTTGCTCACACAAAAATCATTCTAACCGCTTCCACACCTTTACACACCTTTCCATCTGGCTGGCCACAGCTCCCAAGACCATCATCCTGGATGACATCTGATTGGTCACAACTCCAAGGTCACCCTGATGCCTGTCTGAGGCTGCCCTGTGGGGGGGCAACCAGGGCCAACCAGGAAATGTGGCCTTAGAGACCCCATGTGGGCTGAATTTCTGAAGGAAGAGCATTGTTGAGGCTGGGCTCAGTAAACAGGCAGGCCCATTTCTCCCAAATTCTCTCAAAGAGGGCGGTCACCGTCTCCCTCACCCCCAGAAACAGGAACGCTGAGCAGCTCAGCCACAGCTTCCTGTCCTGGACCCCTCCTCCCATCTCCTGCTCTGTGCAGCCTCGCGTGTCCCATGCCCCTCACACCCCACACACACAGCTCCCTGTAGTTGGTATCTATAGAGAGCAGGAGGCCAGCAGGGCAGAGGGTGCAAAGGAGGCAGCTGTTCCCACACTGACCAGCAGGCCCAGGGTGCCAGTCAAAAAGCCTGGTGTGTGGTTTCAGAAACAGACCCTGGACTGGGGGGCCTGGCCCCCAAGGGGAGAGGGGCTACATATGAGAAGCGTCAGGTGGCCTGTGAGGAGGGAGAGAGGGAGGCCAAAGGCAGATGGGAGCTGTTCTAATGTGGGCAGGCAGTGAGCTGTGGCTGGGGTGGCGGGGGGAGCAGAGCATGGGGCACTGAACTTGGTTCAAACCCACAGAACCTGGTGAGGCCAGGGCGAGGGCGGAGCCCACTCACCTGGTGCAAGCAAGGAGGGAACCCAGCAGGCCCCACAGCCAGCTGGATTCTGTGCTTGGGTCGCCAGTAGCACGAGGGCCAGGCGCACCCACAGCTCTGTGCAGTCATCTGGGTGTTAGGGGCAGGTTGACTCGAAGTCCATCTTCTCAGAGCCCAGACCACGTGAGACCAAGGCCCCCCAGAGCCCGCAAGGAGGAGAGCCGGGGCACGTGTGCGGGAGCCACCATGGGCAGCTGGGTTTCAGCTGGACCCCAACCCGGTGCCCTAATGTCCCTTGCTACTAAATGACACTTCCATGCCC